TTGTTCTTTTTCACTGTACGTCCGCAGACACATTCTGACAGCACTTCAGACAGCAGCTTTGTGCCCCGCCAGCTTCTTGTTCCATGCCTACCATAGTGTTTTTTTTCAGACAGCACTTCAGCAGTATGCTGTAGTCGGCAATCTTCCGTTTTGGTATAGAGTGGGACAGGGAGGGGGTGATGCTACTACTGTAGTCGAACGGTGGGACGGACGTGCAGTTCAGTTTTTGGGTACGCATACGGTGCTGCAGGGACTTTTTGGTGTACCTCTTCGGGCTTTTGGATACCTTTTTCTCGTTATATATATGTGTGCGTGTTCTTTAGATCCTCAGATGGCTCTAGCACTTTCGTGACCACGGGCTGAGAGTCTTTNCGAAGGGGTTTCGCAGGATAATTTTGTTTCTGTGATACACCCGATGGTTCTGAAGAAAAACGCCAATTCTCATTTTTGGATACGTTCCCATTTTTCCCGCAAGTCCAAAATTTGCTAGATTTTGGCATTTAGCAACTGACATACGGTTTAATATGAAGACAACAACAACAACAACAACAACAACTTCAAATCAGCGCGCATACAGCACTAACTAGTTGCAGTGCCGTTTTGTAGTGCTTCTAGCTGTTGTAGTGCCGTTAAACTCCGACCCGTGAGCACACAGAACAGGCCCTCTCTACCCTCCCCTCCTGCGGTACTTTGCCTTCGATTTTTAATTCGAGAGGAGTTAATTCCGCACTCTCTTCCCTCTGTGTACACACGAACTAGCGGGCACACGCCGGTCGCCCCGGTGGTCTAGTGACATCCTCGTAAACCGCTTGTCGCAGAGGTCGTGAGTTCGAATACCCATGGGGTGAATAATTTGCAAACTTTGCGGGTGAAAGAAAGCGAAATAAAACCGAAAAGCTCTTGTGAGTACCAAACTTCGTCGTTAGCACCGTTGACGAGGGAAAGGGACGACTGGATGGACCTTTCTCGCGATAAAAATAAATACAGCACGCACCGCAGGAGGAAGGAGGGGCATGAAAATACACAACAGGAAGAGAAAAAAAGCCCTGGTTTTTACTTTATTTTTGGGGGTGTTCCGCGGTAAAGACGAATTGTCTCTCCCGCGGCGAGGAAAAATTCGAATGAAAAACCGTTTTTGGATACATCACAGGGTTGCGAGAAAAATGAGAACGGATTTTGAATTGAGAACCAACCCCCCCCCGACTTGCAAAAAAAATGCAGAAATAGGTGGGTGCCTAAAACGACGTTTAATAAAAGCATAAAAAAAAGAGAAACAAAAAACATGTGATCGGATCGCCTTGATTGTTTTTTTTCACCGCGTTGCCGATTTCGGCGCCTCAATTTCTCCTCGGCAATCGATTCCGCTTGGCCGATTCAGAGGTGGTAGAGCCACTCAGAAGTTGATCAGACAAAAACTCGACGTGGGAACCGAGAATCCAAAATCCCAGGAATTTTGAAATTGCTCAGCTACTCTCAGCTTTTGAGCAGCTGAAAGTCCATTGCAAATCAAAACTGGGACATTCCAACAATATATTTGTGATCCCCACCCCGCAATTACCCTAATTCGAAGTCAGGAGAGATTGAATCAACATGTAGAAAGTGTTTGTTGCGGGAGGGGGGATATTTCAGTGTAATTCCTAGTCATTCCAGGTTATCCCTGCTTTCGCGCATATATATCAGTGCGAAGCTGTATCACGGCCGCATCGATCCTGATCGAAATTCTGACGACGGATTCTTGATGTGCAACACTACATTACTGCGAAGGTGTACCGATTCAGGTAAAAGTCAATCGACGGATACCCTGCGAATCGGGTCCTCCTTATTAACACTCTCCACCCACAGAATTTACCCTCAACTGGGAACCTCTTGTGGCCAGGATGGGTAATTCGATGGAAGTGTCACAAGGTTCTTTGTAGGATCGACTCCTCCAAGAGGTGTTCTCAGGACTGACACACACATTGTGTCCTTGGGAAAATATCCAAGTCAGGAGAAAAAGTGTGCACCCAAGGAGATTCGAATCAGAATCCAGCTGACGTCATGCGCGAAGGTGTACCGATTCAGGTAAAAGTCAATCGACGGATACCCTGCGAATCGGGTCCTTCTTAACATTACCCCANATGGAAGTGTCACAAGGTTCTTTGTAGGATCGACTCCTCCAAGAGGTGTTCTCAGGACTGACACACACATTGTGTCCTTGGGAAAATATCCAAGTCAGGAGAAAAAGTGTGCACCCAAGGAGATTCGAATCAGAATCCAGCTGACGTCATGCGCGAAGGTGTACCGATTCAGGTAAAAGTCAATCGACGGATACCCTGCGAATCGGGTCCTTCTTAACATTACCCCAACCTGATAATTCTACACGATTCGGAGGCGTTTGTTTACAACTTGCTCGGGGGGCCCGCAGACGCGATTTTCACCCAATTTTGGCCACCAATTCATCAGTAAGTCATCACGACGACATCCAAACAAATGGGAAAATAAGTATATTTTCGTGATCCTCGTGACCTAACGGATGTTGGTACAAATTTTCAGAGGTTGGGAGCCATTTCTTGCTGCTCATTGAAAAACTCGTGGAAACTATTCGTCTTCACCGCGGAACACCCCGTTACCCCCTCCTGTGTGACCCTGGATTTCTTATTTTCGCCATTTCCTATATTTTCGCCACCGTGCAAATTGCACGATTTCTTATCATCGCTATTTCCTTTTCCAGCCACGAAGCTTTGCACTACCCGCGCGGTACATGCTTGCACGACACCCGGCGGTATTATAGTCCATCCGGTTAAATTTGCCACCATCTCCCAGGATCACTCTGGAAATAATTCCGAGTGACTGACGTACCCCCCAGATATATATATACTCTATATTTATTTATTTATTTTTGCCTTCCGACAATTGCAGATGTACCTCAGAAAATTTTCACTTAATGCCTCATACTCTACATACATGAATATTAAACCAATACGAAGTACAACAACATATATATGTAGGACTTATTTCTACTGTCATTTACATCGTAAAAGTATCTCCTCTTCAACTTACCAATGACAATCAATCCTGATGGTATCCTATATCGTAAGAAAGCTCTGTTTCACGCGGATCGTTTGATCGGAACATATATTTTTTTTTGGTTGGCGAGACAATCACGATTTTGTCGAGATTTTGCAAGAATTTGAATGTTTTTTTTTGGTCGAGTGTGGGGTCTGATTTTATTTTTTAGACCGGTTTTGCGCGTATGGCGTCGAGGAGCTGCGAACGACCTAACTCAAGTTTTTTTTCGCTGATATACCACGGAGAAATGGGCACAAAAGCGCAATCCTGATGAACTCAGGAAACGTTTTTCCGGGGAGATGTGCACCGATAGTATTCGAAAAACTCAACGGATTCGGACGAATGGGACCTGCAGCCATGACAAGTTTTTCTTTTTTTCCAAAAATGTTTTTTGGCGAGATATGTCCCATCCAAGTTTTGTGTGTTCACACAACACGCATGACCACACGACACACCATCATCCACATCATACAGCAGTACCCCACGCCCTCACAAGGGCCCACAAATGGCTGGGCGTCCTCCCGGCAGACCAAAGAAGCGCAGCAGCTTCCAAACAAGAACAGTTGTTGCTGGCCGGTTCGGCGCGATGAGACTGCCACATCCAGAACCACCACTCGCTTGCGGACATCCCACCACAACATGACAACGACACATATTATGAAGGAGACGAAGAGGACCACAGCAGCAGCAGCCAACACAGCAATGACAGCGACCTCGGCAGTTGTCCCTGAACGAGCGTAAGGCCGAAGAGATGGCCGCCCTTTCTGCGGCCAAGGAGGCCAGGAAAATGTCTAACTAACGAGGCTGCCGACAAGAAGAAGTTCAAGGCAGCAAAACTCACGGTCACCTGAGTTGAGCGTAGCAGCATCACCAGCCGCCGCGAATTGTAGATATTTTTCATGTTTTGAACTTGGCTCCATTTAGATTGGATGAATAGACTAGATCATGGCGGGAGGATCGGGGCAAGTATCTACATTTTTGTGTCTGAAATAAGTGTTGCTTTTTCGCTGTTGCGGAGAGAGAGAGTGCTGAGAGGGAGGGACAAGCAAGCCCGGATAGTCGACGGGGCTAGATAGATATGTTCCTCCAGAATGCATGGTGTGGCGTTTCGGGAAAATACAATACGTTTCGGGGTAATTTCGGGTAATATGTCTGTTTCGGGGTAATCTCGGGGGTAAATTTCCCCCCAAAATGGCCATTTGCACCGATTTTTTTCTTGACACCGGATTTCGATGCATCTCGGTCGTGCGGTTATTGCCAACTTTGTTTCACGTCTCAACGATCAAAATTGCGCGAGAAAAAGTGGGCGTCACGGTGAGGCAACATTCAACCGGATAGACTCTACTGAACTGAAAAAAAAGAAGCGCAAAGTCATTGTGCTAATGTGCGTGCGGACAACATACTCTGTATATCCCTAACGCGCTTCGAAATCGATTGGTGAAGTTGTCACAACTTGGCATTTGCTCTATCCCGGTTGGTAAATGTTGCGAACGTTGGGGGTTCGCGCCCTACTGCCCTGCCGGCGTGGCTGTTCACCCTCACACACCCCCGCCGGCTCATTCGAATCGTCGATCGGCTCGATCAACGCCCACGCTCCTACGGCTGCGTTCGCCTCGTCTACATCGTATGCATCTATTATAGAGGCATGTTCACAATGATGGTGCTTTGATCGTACGCCAAAACCACGCGGTAGTCGTACGTGTGGCTAGTTTGCGGGGGCGCTGCCCGGCTGATCTGCCCCAAGAACCACCCCATACCACGCGTCAAGAACACGCAACGCTTAATCAATGCGCGATCCAGCTTTTCTGGAGGAGACTGTTGAAGACGGAATCCGACCGGAAGCTCCATCGCGATGATGTCATCGTCGGAGTCGACGTTATCATCGCTTTCTTGCTGCGACAGGGGGTCTTGAACATCGCCGTGGTCATCACCTAGCAAATGAAGCGATGTGAAAAAAAATGTCGAAAAAACGCCGGCGTGAGACACGCGTGTTTGAACAAATTCACAGCCGCCCACCAGTCCATGCAAAACGGGGGGCAAAGGCGAAATACAAACCGGACCTAGACTCGAAAACTTACCATCATCATCTGCGCTTGCGTCGCTGTCGCAGCTTGATTCGCCAGCGCCCGCTCCCCCATCGTCGTCGCCGACCTCATCATCCTGGTCGGGCATCTCCTCGTCACTGCTCGTGCCCCCGTCCATGAAGTTGTACGCCCCAACTACACCCTCCGGAGTGATGCGGTCGTCCAACGACCCGTCTGCCGTCATCGCCAGTCCGGTCTTCTCGAACAGGCGATGGCGGTACCCAGGCCGAGCGTCCATTCGCGCGACCGCCCTTGCAATGAATCGCGTGAAAAGGATTCGCCTTGCACCAGCTGAAAGCTTGTTGGTCTCCCACAGGCAAAGGTTTTCCTCGTGCCCAAGAAATTCATCCAGCTCGTTACCGACTTCGACTTTGAGGAGGCGTCCATAGCCGGCATCGACCGGTTGGAGTTCGTCGGTCAACTTGGGGGGAAGTAGCCGCAGCAGCGTGTTGCACTCGCCGTGAAGGAATTTCTTGAAGTCGTCCGTTGTCTGCGCGTGCAGGTTATCCGCGAAAAGGATGGACTGCTCCTCTGGAACAACACCTTCCTCCCCCTTCATGCTGCTTAGGAAGCTGTGTTTTGCCCACGTCATGCACGTTGGGCCGTCCATCCACGCGTTCTCCTGGAAGAGCACGTCCACGCCGGGGTCGTACGCCGCCTTCTCCACCGCCGGGACTTGCCTTTGCCGCGGAAAATGAACGCGGTCTGCATCAACTTGTCGCCAGCTCCGATGCAACAGTTGATGGTGCACTGTCACTTCTCAAGACCAGGGAACGGCTGCCCAAATTGCACTCGCAAAGCTCCCGTCTCGTCCCATGTCGAGTCGAGGCCGTTGACGAATGCAAGCCCAACCTGGTCGACATTGAAAGGCGCATTCAGGCTGAAGCGCCCGTAGAGGGGCGATTCCACAGGAACGATCGCAGCGCCGTTGTTCTCGGCGGCGCCCCCAGCAGCGGCCCGGCGAACGGGTGGTTCCTGCAGCAGCTGGCGCAGCCTCCTGTGGAAGCTCTTCATCTGCGGAAGACGGTCCTCCATCGGCTTGTTCTTCATGTTTGTGCGCCTTCGTTTCGAGAGATGGTGGCGCTTCGCGAACTTCCTGCACCACAGGTCCGACGCTGAAAAGTTCGTTGCACGCGAGTCGTCCGGATACATTTCTACCACGAGCTTTCTCGCGTTGACTCGAATCCAGGCTGTCGACACTCTGAGCTTCCTCTTGCGCCGTTGCAGCAGCAGCGAGTGCAGCTTCTTCTCTGCGTCTCCGGACCACCTCCTCTCCCTGCCTGCCAGTCTTGACAAGGTCATTCTTCAAGTCATTGACCGCGGCTGCGATCAGCTTCTCTGCGTCACCGTTCCACTTGCAGATGTTGGGTTGGGGAATGCCGCTCGTCCTTGCCAGGAACTGCTGGCACGACACGCCGTGAACATGCAAGATCTTTTCGGCGTGATCGGCCTCCAGCTCTCGCAGCTCCGCGACCACCGCAGCCTTCTTCCTGTTGCTGTACTGCGTCCTCTTCTCAGACCCTCGTGTTTTCTTCCGTTTGGCGCGTCCTTCGTCCGACAAAAGGCCGTCATCTGGCAAGTCTGATGTACCATCGCCTTGCGTCCTTGGCTGCAGCTCAAACGAACAGCTCCCTCGCACGTGGTACATTTTCTGGCCCGCCGCAGTGGTGTGCCCGCCTCCTCCTGAGTGATGAAAGACGAGAAGAAAACACCTGCCCGAATACCCGTGCCAAGGTGGAGTCGTCATGGTCCCACCCGTCGCGAGGGCGCGCCTGAGCCCTCGTCCAATATGCCGAAGAGGAGCTGGGTGCACGGCACTACAGCAGTGTAGCGATCGACCTTGCTCGGAGGCAAAGGTCTTCGGGCAGTACAGGCACTTCAACTTGGGAGGAGGTGGTGCGATGGGATAGTGGACGCGGGTGACTTCCTCCACGATGCCATTGCGGGTACCCTTGATCTGCAAGAAAATAGCAGCAAAGCGAGGCCCGGGATACGAGGATTTTAGAGTGCAGCAACAAATGTTTGCCAACTGTCCCTCCAAGTAATTTACAACAGCCATGTTCAACGGCAGCGGCACGTGATCGGCACGCTTCGACAACAGCAGCAAGTGTCGCTGAAAAGAAAAGTTGAAAAAAAACACGAGAGCAAAACAACGGGCAGTGCCAGGATTCAAAACCGCGCCCTCGAACTCGATGGTGAACCAAAAAAATCCCCCGCAAAACATTTCGTGTTTTGGTTTCTCTGCCGGCCAGATCGGCATACTTCGACACCAGCTGCAAGTAAGTGTTGCAGAAAAAAAGTTGACAAAAAGCACGAGAGTAAAAAAACAGGGTACTGCCAAGATTCGAAACGGCGTCCGCAAACTCGATGGTGAACCAAAAGAATCCTCCGCAGAATGTTTTCGTACTTTATTTTCTCTGCCGGCGAACAATGCGGGCGAGGGAGACGAAACAGGTGATGCACCGGACAACCACATGTCATTCATGAACATGGCCAAAGGATGCAAACGGAATCTCCAACCAACTCACCGGCTTGTTTGTTGCTGCGGCCCAGCAGTTGACGATGTTCCCGTGCATCGTGTTCGCCGCCGCCCTCGCTTCCTTGGCCGTGCGCTTGCCCTTTTTCTGTGCGGGCCTAGGAGTCTCCACCACCTGCGACCCACCAACCGCTGCTTCTCCGCCCGCCGCTGCCGACCGTCGTGCTCCGTCTCGTAAAAGGTCTGCAACTTTACATCTAGCTGCTCTCGGTAGTCTTCCGCCGTAAACATGCCGCTGAACAGCAAGTTGGCCATGCGCTCCACATGCTACCAGAACTTGTCATCGATGGGCTTGTTGGCCATCACGTGCTTCTTGATGGAATCTTTGTGGCTGCTCTCCTTGATGTAGCCGGCACCAATAAACTTCGACAACCTCTCGAGGTTGCCGATGGATGCGTCTGAAAGCGGCATTGCCTTGTTGTGTATGAGGAACACGAGTTTTTTTTGTGAGCGGTGGCGGCGCTTCTGGGGGGTCCGCCGACGCGGTCTCAAGGAGATCATACCCTCCTGCGGCGGAAGAAGGCCCACGCCCATTATTACTATGGCGCCTTCCGCGCTCGAGTGTGCAGCGGTCCAGTTGATGATGTTCCCCGAAGACTAAAGCTACAAAAAGTGTGTCAGGGTGCTTTGGTGGGGTGTAGGCCTAGTTCCGCGGGTTAAATTGAGTGCCCGACGTCGGGNACAACCTCTCGAGGTTGCCGATGGATGCGTCTGAAAGCGGCATTGCCTTGTTGTGTATGAGGAACACGAGTTTTTTTTGTGAGCGGTGGCGGCGCTTCTGGGGGGTCCGCCGACGCGGTCTCAAGGAGATCATACCCTCCTGCGGCGGAAGAAGGCCCACGCCCATTATTACTATGGCGCCTTCCGCGCTCGAGTGTGCAGCGGTCCAGTTGATGATGTTCCCCGAAGACTAAAGCTACAAAAAGTGTGTCAGGGTGCTTTGGTGGGGTGTAGGCCTAGTTCCGCGGGTTAAATTGAGTGCCCGACGTCGGGATGTTGAGGTTTCAGCCATATGTAGTGTTTTATACTGCACACTGTATGAAAAAAAAAAACGGGGATGAGGCTAAAACGTCCCCCCCCTTTGGAAAAACGGCGATAAAACGTGTTTATAGGGCCATTTTCAAGCGCGTTTTTTGGGCTACTTGATGCGTGCAACCGCGGAGATTTACCCCAAGTATACCCTGTGACATATGGGACATTTATTTCACCGACGTGCTTGAAAATAATGTATGTTGTGCAATATATATATGGAAAAAGACAGCCTATTTGGGCGACAAACCGTGAAAATATTAGCCACCAGCGCCTGCAAATATTGTTTTCTCCTGCTGGAGACCCTTTTTTGGTATCCCAAACTGCAAGGGAGACGACCTGCTGCTGCACGTGAATACAGCAACATGCAACAAACAGCACACAGCAACAAAAAAAGTACAAATACTGCAACAAAATTACCCAAAAAAACAGAAGAACATCGAAGAGAAAAAGGCGTCAATCAACACATGACGTGCAACACGGACACCCCTCAATCCCCTACACCACAAGACGTCCGGGTTACCTTGTGCTTGCCCGACACATCCTTCACCATACCGACCATCCCCTCATACTTTTTGGCCGGGACGCAGTCGTCGTAAGCTCCAACACTGCACTTCGAGCAGTAGCACGACGCCTGGCGAACGCGCAGCTTGTATCGCTTCGTGACAGCCGGAACCGTCAGAACGATTGATTCGTCTGCCTGCCATCTCAGCGGGTTAACTACAACCTCGTTCTCGCCA